ATAAGGCAAAATCTGTCCTGGGACAACACAGAGGTAAAAACTAGTGCCTTATATAAGGAAATTTACGATACACTAACTCACATCTTTGGTATGTATATTTGTAAAGGAGAAGTTTAGGATAGGGAATACATTACCCACAACAAACAAACACAATGTGTTATTTTCGGCCAGATGAGCCAAAAAACAACAAGCTGGAAGCAAGAATCCTGAGAAAAACTTGAATCATGGAAAATTTTCTGTAATTCAAAAGTAATACAGTGACCTCTTTATATACTTCGATTTGTATAACAGATTTAATATTCTTAAGAATGACAACTACATTATTTACATATTCTATAGCTGGACGATTTCAAAAGAAAATTTAAACAAATATTTATTTTATATACTAGGCCCCTGTATTAAATTCTGAAAGACCGACATTTTTCACTCCTTATAATTGCGTATTCCATTATATATGAATTAGATATGGATACGATCTGATTTGTACTTTAGATCTGGAATTTTCCTGAATGAATTTTACCACAAATATTATTACTATCTAGATCGTGGGCATTGGGATTAAAAATATAATATAAACATATCAATCTAGAATTCATTTATTTTTTTGAAGAAAGAAAAATAGTGCAGTGCTGTTTTTTATAATGACAATCTAACCGCATTTTCAAATCTCATAAATTTTTACTTACATACATATAAATGGATTTTAGACATGGAAGACTATAAAAATTAAATAAAATGCACAAAAAAGTTAAATAGATTTCAACTAAATCAAAACAAAAATGGTAAAAACAAACTTAACCATAAATCATTGTTTAAACATGTGGTCCAAAGAATGTATAATTGTCATTCCTGTATGGAGGTCTTTTTACCCGACAGTGGGTCTTTTGTATTTACCTTGGCATAAACTTACTTATTCGTTCTATTGTGACTGTCACGGAAAAGAAATACCGCTGTCTATCGTAAGATCGGTAAATTTGTTTAGATAAATAAAATTTATTTTATTTGACATCAAGGTATCTTCAGTTACCTGCTATCACAGCCTGGTCAAAGTGTTTACATTCCCTTGTGAAAATCTGTCCATTCTTATTTCACGATTTATAAAAACAATTTAACAATTTTTTGTTTCTAGTCTACGAATCCAAATCAAAGTATACTTAGTAGATAATTTAAAACCTATTTTTGTTTCTAGTCTACGAATCCAAATCAAAGTATACCTTCTAGATAATTAAAAACCTATTTTAATTCTTTTCTTTCATCTGTATACTGTGGGAAAATTGAAATGATCAGCTCTGGTCAACTAATCTGGGTCACCAACCCTGTAAACTTAGTGTCCTAAACAATTGTAAGTTATATCGATGTTTACAACACTTACTACGCCATAGGGGAAAACAAAATGGAGAAATAGCTCTATCCTTAGTGAGTTTTGTCCTGTCATAATAAGACTTATAATAAAATAGTGATTATGAAAGAAAGATAAGCTGATCTGTCAGTCCAGGTTTTTAACACAGAACTGAAAGTTGGAGCGCAGCTGGTTGACAAGGCATTCTTCTAAGAACTGTCATTAATTAAGACTTCATACTACAGATTTACTTATACTCAGATGGTGCTTCCAATACATATATAATTAACTTTAAGGCCTTTAACATATAAAAGAAAAAAACAATAAATGGGGACACAGATGATGCCATGCTTGCATATAACATTATTAAGCGACATAACTCAAGAACGGTAAAAGTGACACTACCCAAATTCATACTTGATCTGAGTTTTGTGGTAATTAGCATTTTGTAAAAGTTTCGTAACATTTGGTTGAAGCAAACTTTAGTTAGAGAACGAAAACGAAAAATTCAGCAATTTTTCCATTTGTAAAGGGGCATAACTCTAGAACGGTTGAGACAAACTGAAGTTAGAGAACTGAAACCAATTTCGGGATGTGCAGATGGACAAGGGTAAAACTTAAGACTTAACAAGAGTGCACACGCTGAAATGTCTCGCCTTCTTTACTAATCATTGATATTATGTTGATAGTCCTAAATATAAAGCTTTATTACAACTGTCACATAAACTTAACATTAACCAAGTAAACTAAACATTGACCAATGAACCATGAAAATGAGGTCAAGGTCAGATGAACCATGCTAGGCAGGCATGTACAGCTAACAATTCTTCCATACAACAAATATAGTTGACCTATTGCTTATAGTTTAAGAAAAACAGACGAAAACACAAAAACTTAACACTGAGCAATGAACCTTGAAAATGAGGTCAAGGTCAAATAAAACCTGCGTGACTGACATATAGATCATAAAATATTTCCATACACCAAATATAGTTGAACTATTGCATATAGTATTAGAAAAAAAGACCAAAACTCAAAAACTTAACTTTGACCACTGAACCATGAAAATGAGGTCAAGGTAAGATGACACCTGCCAGCTAGACATGTACACCTTACAATCATTCCATACACCAAATATAGCTGACCTATTGCATGCAGTATTAGAAAGAAAGACCAAAATTCAAAAACTTAACTTTGACCACTGAACCACGAAAATGAGGTCAAGGTCAGATGACACCTGCCAGCTAGACATGTACACCTTACAATCATTCCATACACCAAATATAGTAGACCTATTGCATACAGTATAAGAAAAACAGACCAAAACACAAAAACTTAACTATAACCACTGAACCATGAAAATGAGGTCAAGGTCAGATGACACCTGCCAGTTGGACATGTACACCTTACAGTCCTTCCATACACCGAATATACTAGACCTATTGCTTATAGTATCTGAGATATGGACTTGACCACGAAAACTTAACCTTGTTCACTGATCCATGAAATGAGGTCGAGGTCAAGTGAAAACTGTCTGACGGGCATGAGGACCTTGCAAGGTACGCACATACCAAATATAGTTATCCTATTACTTATAATAAGAGAGAATTTAACATTACAAAAAATCTGAACTTTTTTTTCAAGTAATCACTGAACCATGAAAATGAGGTCAAGGACATTGGACATGTGACTGACGGAAACTTCGTAACATGAGGCATCCATATACAAAGTATGAAGCATCCAGGTCTTCCATCTTCTAAAATATAAAGCTTTTAAGAAGTTAGCTAACGCCGCCGCCGCCGCCGCCGCCGCCGCCGGATCGCTATCCCTATGTCGAGCTTTCTGCGACAAAAGTCGCAGGCTCGACAAAAAATGAATGCCTTCTTCCGGTATCTACAACTTCAGAGCTTTCCTTAAGACGAAATAAACATTTGGAAAAATCTGAAAAAAACAGATGTTTTAGTGGGATTAGACATTGACCCAGACACATAAAAGTCTAGGTGACATCTATAGGTCAACATGGTCTTCAACAAACAATAGTGTCTATACAAAATGTCACCTTCTTAGAATCTCCTGAGTCTTAAAAGGTCAGATTAAATTGAATAAAGACTTTCAAAAGACCCCTTGAATCACCACCAACAACAATTTCCCCAAATTACAAAATTCATCGAGATGATAAAAAAAAAAATATCCAGTAAAAAACTAAAACTTACACTATCATTTATTAACACATATATTCCTTTACGCTTTATTACCCATTTCAAATATCATTATTGTTAAAAAAAATTTACTGCTATACTTTCATTTTTATTTCACCCACAAAAAAACAACATAATCAAACACATCATAAACGTTTTTCAATTGTACTTAACATGCTTTTTGATGCAGAAAATTATATTTAGGTATTAAAATTCTCTACATCAGGGAATAGCTATTTTAATTATTTTTTTATCATGTACTTTTAGTAGATTAATAGATGAAATTATTAGTTTTATCTCTTGATCATCCCATCCTGGAAACCGTAACGGAAGTCCATCAAATATATTTTGTACCGCAAATAAAATTAAACTTTCAAAGAGATCCCATGATGCATCACGCCATATTTTTTATTAAAAGGATATTTATTTATTAAACCCAAAGTAAAGTCCATAAGATAGATAATGAAGGTTTTTATAATAAAGACACTTTTCCATCAAGACTTTATCACTATTAGTAGTTGTATATTTCGTCATTATATCATGAAAGTGCGAAATTGACATACACAGGTATGTATTTACCTTGAGCTTACAATCTGTAAATGGGCAATCAACATGGCCAAATAAATTACCTATAATTTATCAACCTTCTAATTCTGTATTTATCTAAACCAACCTTACATATAATTTACCAATCTTCTAATTCTATATGTATCTCAACCCTGCTTATTTTGCCATTAAAAATGTCTGAATGACTTCCAAAAAACTCATTGATGTTGGTAGCTGACGGCCATAATTGTGTTTTATTTATTGTTATGGTATAAATTAGGCAGTTGGCTTTTTTTACTCTTTTGAATTTTTTCACATTTAGTCATGCCAAGGCCTTTTATAGCTTACTATATGGTACACGCTTTGTTCATTGTCGAAGGTCATACAATTAACCATGTTGTTCACATCCTTGTTCTTTGGTCTTTGGCAGGTTACGTTGTCTCATTAGCAATCATATGACCACATCTCCTTATTTCTAAATTAAAAATTCTTTAAAGTTATATAATTTCGAACCCAAAACTCACACTACAGTTAATCTTTAAGCTTCCTTTCATTATTTACATTATATTTGGAAATATCACAAGATCTATCCCTTCTTCCTGATGTGAAAGACAGGTATATAGTATTTGAACAAAACGGGAAATGTCAAGAAGAAAGCAACCCAATGACCTTAAAAAAAATCAACAAAAGACATCTTTGTATACATGTTAGGAATTAGAAAACTTAATCAAGATAAAGGACCAATTTATGAACAGTCTTAAATTTGACGATAATAACTTACACATGCATGTGCTGTGTTTTATTCACAAAAATGATGTCTCAGGTGCTTCAAAACTATTTTCTCCATTTACCTTCTTCAGGAAAATTCAAACAAAAATAAAATGCTCCGCAGGGCGCAGCTTGAAACGACCGCAGAGGTCGAACCCTGAACAGTTGGGGGAAGTATGGACACAACATTCAAGCTTGATACAGCTTTGGATTTGGATTGTGATTAAATATTTGACACAGCATAGGTTTCTAACACAGATTGAATGTGGTCTAAGAACTTAAAAATTTTAAATTGGACATTCACCTATTATGGTCCAATATCCAAAATCTAAATACATGGTTAGATTCAGCATATCAAAGAACCCCAAGAATTCAATTTTTGATGAAATCAAACAAAGTTTAATTTTGGACCCTTTTGACCACAATGTGGACAAAGTTGATAACGGGGCCCAATAATCAAAAATCTAAATACATGGTTAGATTCAGCATATCAAAGAACCCCATATATTCAATTTTTGTTGAAATCAAACAAAGTTTAATTTTGGACCCCGATTTGGACCAACTTGAAAACTGGGCCCATAATCAAAAATCTAAATACATGTTTAGATTCAGCATATCAAAGAACCCTAAGAATTCAATTTTTGTTAAAATCAAACTAAGTTTAATTTTGGACCCTTTGGACCCTAATGTAGACCAATTTGAAAACGGAACCAAAAATTAAGAATCTAAATACACGGTTAGATTCGGCATATCAAAGAACCCCAATTATTCAATTTTTGATGAAATCAAACAAAGTTTAATTTTGGACCCTTTTGACCTCAATGTGGACAAAGTTGATAACGGGGCCCAAAAATCAAAAATCTAAATACATGGTTAGATTCAGCATATCAAAGAACCCCATATATTCAATTTTTGTTGAAATCAAACAAAGTTTAATTTTGGACCCCGATTTGGACCAATTTGAAAACTGGGCCCATAATCAAAAATCTAAATACATGTTTAGATTCAGCATATCAAAGAACCCTAAGAATTCAATTTTTGTTAAAATCAAACTAAGTTTAATTTTGGACCCTTTGGACCTTAATGTAGACCAATTTGAAAACGGAACCAAAAATTAAGAATCTAAATAAACGGTTAGATTCGGCATATCAAAGAACCCCAATAATTCAATTTTTGATGAAATCAAACAAAGTTTAATTTTGGACCCTTTTGACCTCAATGTGGACAAAGTTGATAACGGGGCCCAAAAATCAAAAATCTAAATACATGGTTAGATTCAGCATATCAAAGAACCCCATATATTCAATTTTTGTTGAAATCAAACAAAGTTTAATTTTGGACCCCGATTTGGACCAACTTGAAAACTGGGCCCATAATCAAAAATCTAAATACATGTTTAGATTCAGCATATCAAAGAACCCTAAGAATTCAATTTTTGTTAAAATCAAACTAAGTTTAATTTTGGACCCTTTGGACCCTAATGTAGACCAATTTGAAAACGGAACCAAAAATTAAGAATCTAAATACACGGTTAGATTCGGCATATCAAAGAACCCCAATTATTCAATTTTTGATGAAATCAAACAAAGTTTAATTTTGGACCCTTTTGACCTCAATGTGGACAAAGTTGATAACGGGGCCCAAAAATCAAAAATCTAAATACATGGTTAGATTCAGCATATCAAAGAACCCCATATATTCAATTTTTGTTGAAATCAAACAAAGTTTAATTTTGGACCCCGATTTGGACCAACTTGAAAACTGGGCCCATAATCAAAAATCTAAATACATGTTTAGATTCAGCATATCAAAGAACCCTAAGAATTCAATTTTTGTTAAAATCAAACTAAGTTTAATTTTGGACCCTTTGGACCTTAATGTAGACCAATTTGAAAACGGAACCAAAAATTAAGAATCTAAATAAACGGTTAGATTCGGCATATCAAAGAACCCCAATAATTCAATTTTTGATGAAATCAAACAAAGTTTAATTTTGGACCCTTTTGACCTCAATGTGGACAAAGTTGATAACGGGGCCCAAAAATCAAAAATCTAAATACATGGTTAGATTCAGCATATCAAAGAACCCCATATATTCAATTTTTGTTGAAATCAAACAAAGTTTAATTTTGGACCCCGATTTGGACCAACTTGAAAACTGGGCCCATAATCAAAAATCTAAATACATGTTTAGATTCAGCATATCAAAGAACCCTAAGAATTCAATTTTTGTTAAAATCAAACTAAGTTTAATTTTGGACCCTTTGGACCTTAATGTAGACCAATTTGAAAACGGAACCAAAAATTAAGAATCTAAATACACGGTTAGATTCGGCATATCAAAGAACCCCAATAATTCAATTTTTGATGAAATCAAACAAAGTTTAATTTTGGACCCTTTTGACCTCAATGTGGACAAAGTTGATAACGGGGCCCAAAAATCAAAAATCTAAATACATGGTTTGATTCAGCATATCAAAGAACCCCATATATTCAATTTTTGTTGAAATCAAACAAAGTTTAATTTTGGACCCCGATTTGGACCAACTTGAAAACTGGGCCCATAATCAAAAATCTAAATACATGTTTAGATTCAGCATATCAAAGAACCCTAAGAATTCAATTTTTGTTAAAATCAAACTAAGTTTAATTTTGGACCCTTTGGACCTTAATGTAGACCAATTTGAAAACGGAACCAAAATTTAAGAATCTAAATACACAGTTAGATTCGGCATATCAAAGAACCCCAATAATTCAATTTTTGATGAAATCAAACAAAGTTTAATTTTGGACCCTTTGGACCTCAATGTGGACCAATTTAAAAACGGGGCCCAAAATCCAAAAACTAAATACACGGTTAGATTCAGCATATTAAAGAACCCCATGAAATCAAGAATAAAACCCCATTGAAATTGGTCAAGAAATAAGCAATTTATAGGAAGTATCTTCTTTTGCACAATCCTGTGCTATTAAATATTTCTTGCTATTGCGCAATACTGTACAATTGACAATTTCTTGCTATTGCGCAATATTGTGCTATTGGATATTTCTTGCTATTGCGCGCAATATTGTGCAATTGAAGATTTCTTGCTATTGCGCAATACTGTGCAATTGAAGATTTCTTGCTATTGTGCAATACTGTGCAATTGAAAATTTCTTGCTATTGCACAATACTTATTATATAATAATTTACACATCCTGTTTGGTGTGTATCTCCTACCATATCATTATTATTTGATTTTAAATATAAATCAGAAATAACCAACTTAAAATGGAAAATTTTAAAAGAAACAAAAAAGGAAAAAAAGAAAAAAAAGGAAAAAAAAATAAATCCCCCCCCCAAAATTTTTTGAACCCCCATTATGATTCATCACCCCCAAACTCAATCCCAGCCTTCCCTTTGTGGTATGGTACCTTGCAGTACAATTTCAGAGAGATCCATACACTTGAACACAAGTTATTGTCTGGAAACTAGAAAAAAATGTGTTTTTTGGCCCCTTTTTGGCCCCAAATTCCTAAACGTTTAGGGCAATTACCCCCAAACTCAAACCCAGCTTTCCCTTTGTGATATGGAACCTTGTAGTACAATTTCAGAAAGATCCATACACTTACACACAAGTTATTGTCATGAAACTAGAAAAATGCTTGTTTTTTGCCCCTTTTTTGGCCCCTAATTCCTAAAATTTGGAGGCAATTACCCCCAAAATCAATCCCAGCATTCCTTTAGTGATATGGAACCTTGTGGTACAATGTCAGAGAGATCCATACACTAACACACAAGTTATGTCTGGAAGTTACAAAAATGCTTATTTTTGGCCCCTAATTCCTTTTACTGTTATTACCATAACCCCCAAAATCAATCCCAACCTTCCTTTTGTGGTATTGAACCTTGTGGTAAAATTTCATTAAGATCCATTCACTTAAACTAAAGTTAGAGTGCGAAAACCAATGTGTCTTCGGACGACGCCAGACGACGCCGGACGACGACGACGACGACGACGACGCCAACGTCATACCAATATACGACCACAAAAAATTTTTTGCGGTCGTATAAAAATTGAAAGTCAAAATATGAATGTATAAGTACTAATTGAATACATGAAGAGCTTTTAATGACCAAAAGGGACCTAAAAAGAAAAGACAACTCCATCTGAGGTAAACTTTGTCAGAAGGAATTTTAAACCTTAATTTCTTAATGATTTCTAAACTAAAATATTATTCAGATAAGAATATAGCTGTCCATGAAACAATTCCAAAAAGGTCAAGTATCCCTAGATGAAGAAATGACATGTTGCCTCTTTACATACTCTCAGTATATTATGAATTCAAAAACATACCTCTTCAAATGAACAAACATTGCATAACCGATATACTTGTATTTACTATCAATAAAGTTCGAGAAATTTATTTATCACTTGGATTTTCCTGTTAAATTTTAATATATAAACAAATGTCCTTGACAGTTTCCTAAATACCTCCATTGCACTACTCATAAATACACTTGATCGATAATTTTCAATGCTAGTCATTATCTATATATGTGAGAATTATATGTTATGCAATCACTGTCATATTTACATGCATTTTTTAAAGAATGCATCGATTTTGTCTGAAATAGATTGTATAATACACGTATTTTGAATCATCACTAAGATTTATCTGTCTTTCAAATTGCTACACAATCTTTTCTACTCAGACAAGGACTTCAATGGGGTACGTGGGACCTCCATGTTTACTTGATCCAAAGCAATTTTCACAGGTTTCCTTCCTTTGTGGAGGGTCTCGATTGAGGGGTTGGGGCCTTCATTATGGTATATCAATTTTTATGTAATTTTTCTCTATTCTTTTTATTTTTCCCCATAATTTTCTATTTTCTATATTTTGGCACCCCATTATTCTTTATACTTTTTTTTGGCTCATTTTTCTCTACTCTATTTTTTTTTTGCTCATTCCTTTCCATTTCATAAACCCATTCACACCCTCCATCTGGGACAATAATATGCATTGCAGTTTGTAAAATCTTTTTATCTCACAGCAAAAACAAGACTGCATGCAACACTTATATTATATCAGCTAACAGTAAAATTCCCAAAGCTCAATGTTTATCACCTTTTTTGTCTGCAGAATAAATATCGTTTACATAAACCTTTTTTTTTAGTACCGAATCTATTGTATCACATGATTCACTAAGTATAGTCATGCTTTTATGACACATATAACAATATATGTCAAAACTATACATAAAACGAGATATTTACAATGATTAACAATTATTCAGTCCTGCTGACATTTTTTTTTACCAGAGGAGGAAGGAAACTGACCACAAAAAAGAGTTTAATGAGATGTTAGACAATCCTGTGTCATTAAAGTCCAGTTGTCACTATCAAAGTTAACATGGTCAAAGTTTTCATTGACCAGGTAAACTTAGTCCAAGTCATCTGTTGTCACTATCAAAGGTTTTCATCAAAACTTGCCAAAGAAAAAACTTCCAATGTGATTGGACAATACCCATCCAAGTCCATTCAAGTTTCAAGAAAAATAGGATGAGATTCTATTCCATCCAAGTCAGTCAAAGTTTTCTTTGACAGCTGTCACTATTAAAAAATCCATCAAAAACTTTAACCAAGAAAACTTGTACAAGAAAACTTTGATAGTGATATTGGGCCTTAAGCATTGATGACCTTTATATTATATCGGATTTGGCAAAACTTTTTGGAAGTTTTGGTTTTCTGATTGATTTCGTTTTCCAACGATGTTGATCCCTGGAGGACCCCTAATGTATATCATGTAGACAAAACGTATGTAACTACATTACAATACCAATTTAATATCAATTATGTATCATTGTCATTTTGCTTAGTTTCTTTTGTTACCTATTCTGACATCGGACTCGGACTTCTTTTAAACTGAGTTTTACTGTGCGTATTGCTATGTGTTTCTTTATTCTACATTGGCTAGAGGTATAGGTGGAGGGTTGTGATCTCACAAAACATGTTTAACCCCGCCACATTTTAGCACCTGTCCCAAGTCAGGAGCCTCTGGCCTTTGTTAGTCTTGTATGTTTTTTTAATTTTAGCTCCTTTATATGTTTTGGAGTTAAGTGTGACGTCCATTTTCACTGCGTTGAAGACTCATTGGTGGCCTTCAGCTGTTATCTGCTCTTTGATCGGGTTGTTGTCTCTTTGACATATTCCCCATTTCCATTCTCAATTTTTTTTACTGCACCAGATGCACATTTGGACAAATAAATATCACTTAAGTGATGCTCGAGGTCAAAATATTTGAAAGTCCAAAACTATAGCTTCTATTGATTCAACTGTACTTTCATATTTACTTCCTTTTAGACTGAAAAGTTTAGTTTTCTACATAAGGAAATGCTTGTATCCAAGACAGGAATATGACAATTGTTTTCCATTTTTTTGATGTGTTTGATCTTTTGATTTTGCCTTTTGATAAGGAACTTTCCGTTTAAAATTTTCCTTGGAGTTCGGTATTTTTGTTATTTTACTTTTTTCAAAGCTTCTCTACAGCACCAGGTACTATCAAACTCATTCAGCTTGCTGTTCAATTCAAATGTCCACTACATTTCTTTTTATCCATATATATTCAACCCTTATAAAATAACGATATGTGGTATGATTGCAAATGCAAGAACAATCCAACAGTGTCCAAATGTAGCAGATTTTTAAGTACCTATAGGTCAGCGTACAGCCTTCAACAATGGAGGTATTGTTTGTCCATCTTCAGATATTCACAAGACTTTGTAAACAATAGTAAAAAAACAGATTTTTATGAATGATGTTCATCGAGAAGGATATTGACCTGACAGTTATGACCTTATAAGGTTACAAGACCCATTTTAAGTAAAATTGATAGTTAAGATGTAGCATTACTATTCAAGCAACACATTTTACGATGTCTTTTTTATCATAGCCTCTGGTTAGCTATACTTGTTAAACAGATGACATATGTCCCCGACAGGATAAATTTTTGTCGATATGGTGTTAACATTTCTTATCCTAATTAAAATCTGTGTGGTACATCAATAAACTGCGACTTTAAGATACGATCAAAGATCTTTTGGATTAATATTTATCTACATATATAGGCATTCCTCCGATGTGATCAGAGTAAACAAAAGAACGTCTCCATACCCAAAGTTTAAAATCCTACCGTTTGGGAACTAGGGTATATATTTATGTAAACAAAGCTCCAGTCTTCTATTACATGTATGACATACTGACAGTGTAATAAATCGGTAAGGGGGCCACAAATTATCATATTCATGAGTTTGCTATTAATATACTTTTATTTATCTGTATATTGGTAATTTGAGATGGATGAACACTGAACATAAACTAATAAATGTTCAAATCAATTTTTCACAACTTTTAAGATTTGTGACGCCTATTTAACTCTCCTGAAGTGAAGGCAAAAAGTCCATCTGTATCATTATACATTGACATATTTGCTACTTTTGTTACTTTTTGTGATTTGTTAGAAAGATTGGGTTCCAGAGAAGAACAAAAGCCGGAATGAAGTAGGAGATATGAAAAAAAAGACAAGGCTGGATTTGTAAAATCAGAAAAGTATAACCAGGTAGACATAATGTGACAGACAAATAAAAAAATAATAAACAGGTACTCATTACAAAAAGATCATTGTAGTTGTGCAGATCTGGTTGGTAGGAGGGGTACAGGGCTTGGGACCCCCTCCTAAATTAGAATTCTAATAAGAAACTGCAATTTTCTACTTATATATAAGATTTCATACAATTACACAAATAAAAGGAAAGAAGACCTTCAAAACCCCTTTTAATAATTTTCTAAATAAGCTCCATAAGGGCTTACTTAACCTTGTGTTGCTTGTTTCTCTTCATTTTATTTTTTTTCACATTTTCTTTCAATTTTCAGCTTCTCTTTCTAGTTCAATTTCTCCTGCCAGATACTGTCGTCATAATCAAGTTTAATTCTCTATTTGCATAACATGCAAGTTTGTTTGCTTACCCTTGCCATAAACTTCATTTTTTCAAGTGTTCATTCAACTTGAATTGATTTCGTAACTTCTTAACCTTTAAATTTATAACTTCTGATACAAAGAACTTTGTTACACACTGCTTTATAAGCGATTTATCAATATGTTGAATTCGTTTAATTTGGTTATGGTTGCCAATTTGGTAATGATCGTCTATTTAACCTTATTAAATGTGAAATAAACAATGATTGATACGAAATTTATTTACAAAACACATTATTAAGCTAATCATTAATCAAATGAAAATATTATTTCATAGCAAATCAAGTAAATAGAATTTCAATTTTGCAGCAGATT